AAATGATGGAATCAGCAGAAATTTCCTTTAGCTTATTTACAGGCTGTGTTTCCTTGCTCACCTCTTATATATAGATCAATACAATCTGTGTATAATATGAAGGTTACAACAGCCAAGAAGACAAGGCTGCATGTGTGTGTATGTGTGTGAACGCGTTCATGAGTATCTGGCACATTTGTGTGTGAATATGCTTATCTTTGAAATGCAGAATTAAGGGCAGGTCCTGCAGAAAGAGAGAGCCTTTCACACACCAACACACAGCTAATTCATAATATCTGAAGTTTTCAGTTATGAATGAAGCAGTTTATTAATAACTCACTGGCATAATTTTCATGGGAAAATAGGAACAGAAAACTTCTTTTCTGTGTTATTAGTTACTGTCCATTCTGTAAGCCATATTAATATACTTTTTTTTCATCAAATTGATGTTGTAACTTAAGCATGTCTTGAATAGGAATGGGGGAAAATAGACAAAAGCTTATCTATTTTGGATGTCTGAAACACAGAGTAACTTCTCTCACCAAAACAGTGGCATATGTGTCCACCACATGCATGCGTGTAGTGAATTCAGCTACAATACTGTGGTCTCATTATAGGTGACTGCATGCAGGCTGTGTCTTGCTCTATCAAACCAATAGGACCACGGCTGTCTGACCCAGTGCAGCTTCTGACAGATGGTTCTCTCAGCACTTTTACCTTGACTAGGGCAATCTGTGGGTCTTCCTAAGTACACAGACTTTAGTCAGTGAATATTTTCTAAGCTCCTTCACATGATAGTGATTGTGTTTGAGTTGCTCATATCCAATTTTAACAATGTCATTTTCGATATTTCACAGCTCGCAGCCCACATACCTCACCCTCCCATTTCTGTCACTCCTCTGCAACATCTTGGCTTTCTGTTCCTCCCCTTCTTCTCAAGGGCACAATCCTCACATTCACTCTGGCAATCTCAGTTCTGTAATGGTATGGCTTTTGGTCAGCACTTTAATTTTTTTTATCTATTAAAAGTGCCCTATGGAGTTCTTTCTTTCTTTCTTTCTTTCTTTCTTTCTTTTTTAATCAGTGATGGAGTGCGGGTGAATTTTCAAAAAATGTTTTATACATTATCCTACTAATCACAATTTTAACAACTCGGAATCAATTGCAGTCGAGAAAAGACATTTTTCTGTAATATGGTTTTATCGCATTATCATTGTTAAATCATATTTGTAGTGTATTTACCTCAGCTAGTTAATCTTTGGTAAAAAGAAGGTTTATTCTCTCTCTTGTTCCCCATTTCCTTAGAACTCAGTGTACACAATGGTAAAAAAGTAGCACACACTTACAGTATCTGTGCGTGTATGTGTTAATTTAGCAACATGAACCAAAAGGCAGGAAGACTGCAGATGAGAATAAAATGAGGGAAAGTGTCTGGGAGAATTTTTTCATATAACAGAAAGGACTAGAAAGAGGAGTGAGGACCATTTACTAGTTGCCAATCTGCTCAGGCAATCACAAAATCAGATCATGAAATTGGAGGTGAATAAGAAAAGCAGCAGAAAGAAAAAGCCAGGTTTTAAAATGCGAAAGTGAATCCGTTGGCTAAGCCAGAGGCCAGTAATGGAGCGAGTCAATCAGTCAGTCAGTCAGTCACACAGCCAAGGGAGTATATAGACAGCCAGCTATCTAATTAACCCCTAATCAGTTATGTAGACAGCCAGCAATCCAGTCAGTCAATAAAGGCTGACAGGAAGTAAGCCAGCAGTTAGGATCTGGTAACAGTGGTGAAATAAATGAAGACCAGTGGTGACCTATAGATCTTGGGTGAAATGCATTAAGATTATGAAACACAGCAACATGATTTTCAAACAATACATCTGTAAAGTAGTTCATGTAGTTCAAACCTGATGCCACCCTTTTATGGTCCTTTGAAGTTGCAGATTTTGATTCATGGAGTCATAATGTCATAAAGTCATAGACATAATGTACAGGGGACACGTACAGGGGAGCACAGCAGAGATGGAAATGAGAAGCAGGAGAGACATGATGGAAAGAATGGGAAGGTGTATTGAAGGGACACAATTACACATCTTCAAAGCTGCTGAGCTAGTACCCACAAAAGCTCCTTGATGCTAGTTATGCCTCTTCTGGAATCATAAACATACACACATGCAAACGGAGACACATTCACTCTTTTACCTGTGACAGGAGCTTTTCAGGATTGCAACCACAGGAAAACTTGAATGGTGTGTGGAAGAGTGCCTTGAAGAGAAACTCCTTTATTCTAAGTCCTGCAGAGACGGGTCATCATGCAGCTTCCTTTAGTGGTCCTGGTTAGCTTCACTGAAGGAATCCCCACAGATGAAATGTTCAAAATAATTCTAACAATAGATCTACAATCAACAACTCACCTGTTGTTAGCACAGTCAATAGCTAAGCAGAAGTTTAACTTTTATCTGTGTGGCAGCGGTTAAACTAATTACTTTTAATGGTTGTCAGTCCTTAACATGCGGTCAGGTTTCTGTGCCTATTCTGAAAGTGTTTTCTTTTACTCGGTATCAGCTAAAACTTCTGCTGAGTGCTGCTTGTGTGTAAGCCGTGGGGCCTTTAGAAGTCTGCTTAGTCATGGAGTAATTTTAGCAATTTGAAAACCATTTAAGATCTGGTGTCTTAGTCCATAGTAAACTAAGAGGGAAGTTTCTGACATTTTGGCAGGTATAAATGCCAGGCTTGTCTTCTCATAAACCATGTTAAAAGCTATAACAACCCACTTCTCAATGTTCACTTTGTTTTATTGAGCTTTATAAATCCGACTTTATATATCTTACGAAGATGTTACTACAGTACCTTCTCTCTCTCTCTCACTCAGATATTTAGAGCAGGAAACAAAATGACCTTTTCAAAAACTCTGTTGTAGTTGATCTTGATTTGATTTAGACACTGTCTAGGGACAGCAAGAAGTATAAAACACCGCAAAGAATCTAAGAAAACTTTGCCCACCTTTAAATTTGGGATATTCAGGTGTCAGAACAGAGCCCAGTCATTTTCCCTGCTCTATTAAATAGTTTGTAAAAGTCACTTGTGCAGCAATTTGACTTTTTTTTTTTTTCCCGGTGAGTTAATTGGCCTTCAATGGATATTTCTAGTATGAAACCCAAAGTCCCTGACTACCTTCCACAAGTGAAATGATTCACAAAGGTCATGGTTTAGAAGCTACTGAAGCCCCAGAAACTGCAGTCACGGTTTGGCATATTTGGACATATTTGACAGTCTGCATACATAATGAGAAAAAAAGCACCTGTGCCTGCTGATTGCATCCATCCTTGGAAAAGAGTCATCTTCTCACTGCCTTGGAAAGTCTGCTGTTATTTCTCTCTCATGGGGAGTTAAGTCCATGAACTTTATCACAAATATTATGTAGACATGTATTTTAATTGATAGGGCTATTTTTCTTTCTATCAATTTCTTTTTATTAAATTTCTTTTAAAAATAAATATTTGATTAAATCTGCTGAAGAGGTTACAGATTTAGACATTTTGCTTTTGTATTTGTGTGTTTTTTATGAGAATTTAATTTATTTTGCTTTATTTATTAATTTTCTCACCTTTATTCATCAAGAGTTGTCAGTGTCAGGCTACCTACAATAAATGATAAAAGAAATGAAAAGAATTGATTTATTACTGTGACTTTTCATACAAAGAAAATACTCAAAGAACCGTAAAACGGAGCTTAGGATGCCATCTCATTCTACATAAAAGCATACAGTACAAAATAAAAACCAAATGGGGAGGGGATCATTTGAACCGAATACAGAGTACAGTATGCATTCGTGTTTGTGATAAAACCTGATGTCAAAAGCAAATGTATAACCTACAAAAGATCTGGTCAACTCAGAATGGAATGAGAGCTAGAGATAACAAATTTAAATTAAATCAAATGCTATATGTGGTTCAGGAAAGACCTGAAAAGGAGATGGCAAAAGCAAGAATACAGTGGAGGAAGGGGAGGGGTGCAAGATAGAGAGAACATGGGATTATGTGGGTGTCACATATATTACTGAGTCACGGCTGGAGGAAAGCGAGAGTGAGGAGACTGCCTTTTGTCTGAGTTTATGTAACAGATCTCCTGCTAGAAGAATGAATGGGGTTTATTTCTGACAGGCTTCAATAAAGGCAGCGAGGAGGAGGTCACATGCTGCAAATCAATCAGTACCATGTGCTTGTGTGTACATACTATATGCGTGTATTTGGCATGAAGACGTGTAAATGCCTGATTGTGAGTGCATGACTCGAATCGATCGGCCCACAGTTTACCTAGGGAGAACAGAAAAGCCAAAGATAAATCTGTTATTTTAGTTAATGCACATATAAATGATTGTTTTTGTAGAGTGGCAGCCACCTTTAAGCTCCCAGAAAGTGAGCTTGCTATCTTTTTACTGGTGCACAACAAGATTCAGAGGACAAAGCTACAAAAAAACAGTTTATAACAGATAAAGAGGTTTTATATTTGAAGATGGACAAGTTGCTTTGCAATGTGCTTCTGGCAGCACTGAATTCTAATGGGAAGGCCTGACAGCCATTTACACATCCTGTTCAGATTGCAAGCTTAAAGGCTTTTTTCAAGACAATTCATCACAGATTAGTTTTTAACTTGTGTCCAAACAGGTATGCCTGCTGGTGTTTCAGGAGTGCTTATATATTAAGACATCTCCAGTGATTCAAAGACAGTCTCCAAAGGCGACTTTTACCATAAATATTATCATATCTTTAAGCTGTACCGGAGATGTGTCCTTTTGATGTCTTTCTAAAAGATCATGGAGCCAATTCTCTATAGCTTTTCTCACTTTATGCTGCCATGTGATCTGATAATCCAGACATAATTTTTCAGGATGTGCTTTGTTGTTTCATCAGCTTTTTCTTCTGCAGGACTTGCTTGAATGTGTCTATGTGATTTTTTTTTCTTTTTTCTGTTACTGTGTTTTTCTTTAACTGGTGTTCTCTCTCTTCCTTCTTTCTTTCTAGGTGGAGAGGTACCCTACACTACACTAGCTACAAGGATGATGATGGGCGTTTGGTGGATGTTTGCTTTAATTGTCATCTCCTCATACACCGCCAACCTGGCAGCCTTCCTCACTATCACACATATAGAGAATTCCATACAGTAAGTATCTCACAGGTTTTAAATATACTTGCTTCAAATTTTAGTTTCATGAATTTCCTTCTTGAAAAATTCAGTTCTTCTAACAATTGGTGCCATGATACAATAACTAAAAATCATAAATTCAGGTATGCACACAGTTATGGACATAAACACACACGTATGCTAAATGACACCTATCACCACAGAGTTTGTGTAGTTGTGCTACGTGACAAATTGTTTCTAACACAATGGGACATACTGCAATCTCTCTGAGCGTGCTCGATTTTTCCTCTGGGTGGAAATCCGTTCTATCGGGCAGGTGTAATGTATGAGAGGCAACACGTACACACACAATTATTTCCCTATCCCTTCCTTTCCCTCTACCGTCCTTTCTCACCTCCTTCTTGTTCTTCGTCCCATTTAAGGATAGCAATTTCCTGTCTGCCTTGAGTGTTGATCTATCATTCTAAGTGTGTGTGTGTGGCCTTGTTTTTCTATACTTGTGGGGACTAAAAACTGGGCACAAACTATTTTCTCAGACAACAGAAGCTGGTCCCCACAACATACCTCATTGAACTTTACAAAAATGATGCAGTGTAAGGTTAGAGCAAGTGTTAGTTATGGGTAAGGTCTGGGTAAGTCTCCCCGGAAATGAGTAGAAGTCAGTGTGTGGTCCTGGTAAGTGACAAAAACATGTGTGCGTATGTTTAAACTGATTACGATAGGGAAGAGATGGAGAAATACAGAGAGAATAAGGTAAAGCATGGAAGAAAGTGAGGAAGAGGGTTCTTGCATGTTTGTATCAGGTCTAGGGCAGAGAATGTGTCAAGACAAGGCCTTGTACTCTTATTGCTGTGATTTCACACACACACACACACACACACACACACAGTATTTCCCTAAGCACTGTGCCCTCTGTTTATCTATCCTTGTGATAATATGTTTGCTAGCTTCTCTCCTGGTGGCACTAAGAAACACTCATCTCTCATCGGATTAATCAGCATGCCGAAGCATCCGCTATGCCCGGCAGTGCCATGGTTAATTGTGCTTGGCTTTGGAATAAACAACATTTATTGCTCTAAATCTCATCACTATCTGTCTCTTAATTTGTTTCTGTCAGTTTGTCTCTGTCATTTTTCCCCCTCTCTTTAGCAAACCTCCTCCTTTTTCCTTCGGTGTATTTTTGCATCCACTCTCTCTTCCTCTCACTTTTTGACATAGTCTTTTCTTTCCTTTACTCTTTCCGTCCATCTGAATGGAAAGTGAACAGAAAAAAATCACTTATTTGTCTGTCCCCTAGGTTTCTTTTTGTTTGATTCTAATTTGCTGTCATTAATGAGTGCCTCTCAGTTTGTTGGCTCATTCACCATCCATTGAGCTAATTAAGGATTTCCATAAATTTCAATGCATTATCTTTAATGTGTTGACTCTTCTGGGGTCATTATTGGCATAATTACTACCTAAACAGCAGCACCCACATGACCTTGAGCATCGTAAGATGGGTGCTGGAGCGAGTCGTAATAGAAAACTCAAATATAAAGCAAAACAAAAACCTTCAATGGAAAGATGAAGAGAATAACCAAATAGAAAACTGAGACGCTGACGCTGTGATTAGCGTGCACTTTTATCTGTTATTGCTTGATTAACATATTATGCAGATGAAATGAGAATGAATGCATTTGTGTGAATGATTGAAAGAATGAAATTGTAAAGAGCAAGCATGCAAATGCATGGGCAGGAAAGAAAGTCGAGGCCGGAGAAGGACAGAGGCGTAACTCTCCTTAGTTTCTTAGTGAGCCATCAGGAAAGACAGGGCTTTTAAGTTTTAATGCCCTTGTTTCATCCTGGAAATGAAATAACAAGTGAGCGTTCAGAACCCTCTCTGGACTATTTCACGCTTGGATGTTTTCCCTCAATTTCAGTGTGAATCCTTTAGGAAAACAGTCAAGGATGGCAGTGGAGAGTGGCAAAGAGCCGAAGCACAAGAGCAATATACAAAGAGAGACAAAATGGTATAAACCTTATAAAGTGGAAATGAAGAGGAGATGTCTATGGAAGAAAAGATGCATGAGACAAATTAAGAGGGAAAGGGAAGGTGCACAAGGCAGAGGTAAGAAGGTGACGAGGAGAAAAGAGCAGAAAAAAGAGTGGAGAAGGGTTTGTGTAGCAATGAGTCAGAATGAGAAATGGATTTTTAGTGAAGCAAGATAGTGAGAAAAGAGGCGTTAACTGTTGAGAGAGGGGTGAGACGGTGCAGAAGAATTGGTCAGGAAGGGAAGATTGAAAGACAGACAGCGTGTGAGGATAGAATTCTTCTTTTTTTAGCCTAATCTCACACAGCAGATTTCATGTTTTATGGTTGCTAAAAATGGACACTAAACTAAATAAGGTGTTTTTTTGCTTGCTCGTGTGTGTAGCCGTATATTTTTTTTAAGACAGCAACGTGGTCACATTGGTCAAACTGGCATCAGTTTATTTGCTTATTTAAAGCCTCATGAGTCTTTTATAAAGGCTAATGAAGTCAAAATTGAATGTCACACCATCACTTGCTTATCCTCTGTTGGTGAGAAAGGCTTTGTAACAGCCCCGTCCCCTGCACAGTTTATGGTTGGAAAGAATGATAAAATTTGCTCTTTCACAGAATATAATGATACCGCTTCATAGCGACCACCAATGACATAAAAAGTAACAAGAAAGTAAAAATTTGACTTTATGGATTGGAATGTATCTGATTTGTATACAGTAGTGCTTTGGACAAAAGTGTCTCCCAAATGAATGTAAACTTAAACTCATGCAACCAATCAAGTCTTTAAACAAATTAATTTTCCCTCATAATCAGTCTTTCTGGCTTCCGATTAACCAGCTTTTAACACCTGAGTTGATATAACAACTCAGGTTATTCCAGCAAATTAGAAAGTAAATAAATAAGTAATTAAAAACTGTTGAAATACCAATCACTCACTATTTTATATGCTATGTTCCCCTTAAACTTGCAAAGTTTTTTTGCTTTGCCAAATTTCCTTAAAGGATATTATCAACAATATGTTTCAACAAAGAACAAATGTGGTCATCGTTTTTGACTAAGAGAATCCCCCCTCTCTCTCACACACACTAAAACACAAGCACACACTGACTATTTGTCACAACATACATTCAGCTGCTATTCATTCAATTTGCTTGCTCATTGAGCTGCTTTGGGGGGAATATAATTGGTTTCTAAATGAGCTAACATACACAGGGAAGAAACACAAGTGCGTACACGTATACACATATGCAGACATTTAATTCACACTGAACAATCACAAAAAGACAAACATAATTCAAATATGCATATCTCTGTCGGACAATACAAACACAATAATACTTGAGGAGACAACCAATGTCATTGTTTTTATTTAAGCTCAGATGTTTAATAGTGTTTGATTAAAATGTATTATTGTCAGTGTCTAGTAAGCTTCTTTTTATTTTTAGGGTGCTGCCTTTCCCTATTTCTAGTAGGTTGTATTTAACTAGTGCACTTAGCCACTGCAGCGACACTTCAAGTCTTCAATCAATAAAAGGATAACTTCTTTACTGGATGTTTTGTATTTAGCTGTATCAAAGGACAAACCTTGAGTCCTGGTTTTAAGTTTTTTCTACACATTATAATGAGCATTTTGGAAAGACACTTATGAGATATGTGCTGCATGATTCCCCCCCAGTATTTTCAGTCATAGGTTTTTTTATTGTGTGTTTTTCTTGTCAAACCTGGGAGCATTTACAGACCTTAAATCTGTCTCCTAAAACACAAGTGAATCAGAAGCTGCAGTATAGTTTTAATCACTGTGGGCACACATTTACTACCCAGTAAAACCAATTCACAAAGGGGGAATCCTGGTCAAAGGGTGTATTGTCAGACATAACGTATTCACAGGAGAGTAGAGGTGAGAGGAAATTATTAAGGCCAAAGATTAATTGACAGCAGTAAAAGATTCATGTTCCTGGCAAAGTCCATTAAAATCTTTAAATGATTTTTTTAAAAGAGCTAGTCAAAGAGATAGCTGGTGATGGCATTAGAGAGAGGGGAACCGCTAGGGCCATGACCTTCCATAAAAATTGTGGATGTGTTTTTTTGTATGTCTGTGTGTCCATGTGTTTTTCTCTGAGTGAGCAGCCTTGTGTTAACGTGAACAGTACCCAGCTATACAGTACTTGCTCCCATTGTTAAATCTTCTTTGCAAATGTATTACAAATGAATTAACATGCGAAAATACCATTGTTGTTCTTCATTAACGAGGACACTGAGTGTTTATTGTGTGCATGTTTTGTTTCACAAATATGTCTTTCAATCCATGGGTGGTATGTAGCATCAATTTACCACACAAAGGGTAATTAGTTCCTGTTATGGTTCTGCATTACATTTCTCAGCGGCCAAACTCTTTGAGAGGCAACTGTTGCATTATAATTAACAATAGCTTGTGCATCCCCCCAGAGGTGGCAGTTTATTGGTAATGGGTAGCACAATAGGAAAAAAAAAGGAGAGCGAGAGGGAAATAAGGAAAAATATTACAGAACACGCTGACGTGTGCTTTATTTCCACTTGCAGTTATCCAAGCCACCTTGTTCAGCAGTGTGAACTGTGAGTGCTGTTGCACAAACATATTCCCATTTTCCCCCCATTTGTTGATCACAGCCTATTCCCTTCTTTTTTGTTTGTTTTTATTCCATGTCAGTTACATGTTGCTGCCAACATCCATTGCCCTGTGTGGGGGGGGGTTTAGATGTAAATCATTTATTTATGTGGGAAGAGATACAGCAACATCCATTGCCCTGTGTGGGGGGGGTTTAGATGTGGGATGTCATTTATTTATGTGGGAAGAGATATGTAGTGTAGAGCTGTTGTTTTGCCAGGTACGCTCTAACTTACCTGTATTTCACATCATTACCCAAAAGCTGCTATAAGATACATCATGCATATGCTTAACCTATTCTTGCATCTACAACAATCAGTCATAACGTTATGGCCACTGACAGGTGAAGTGAATGACACTGATTATCATGTTATAATGGCACCTGTCAGTGTGTGGGGTATATTAGACAGCAAGTGAACATTCAGTCCTCAAAGTTTATGTGTTCGAAGCAGGAAAAACAGGGAAAGCATAAGGATCTCAGAGACCACATTATGATAGCTAAATGACTCCAGAACATCTTACAAACTGATGATGAGGTTGATCTACAGTGGGTACGGAAAGTATTCAGACCCCCTTAAATTTTTCACTCTTTGTTATATTGCAGCCATATGCTAAAATCATTTAAGTTCATTTTTTTCCTCATTAATGTACACACAGCACCCCATATTGACAGACTGAGATGGTTCTACACCTTCATTTGAGTCCAGCTGTGTTTGATTATACTGATTGGACGTGATTAGGAAAGCCACGCACCTGTCTATATAAGACCCTACAGCTCACCGTGCATGTCAGAGCAAATGAGAATCATGAGGTCAAAGGAACTGCCTGAAGAGCTCAGAGACAGAATTGTGGCAAGGCACAGATCTGGCCAAGGTTACAAAAACATTTCTGCTGCACTTAAGGTTCCTAAGAGCACAGTGGCCTCCATAATCCTTAAATGGAAGACGTTTGGGACGACCAGAACCCTTCCTAGAGCTGGCCGTCCGGCCAAACTGAGCTATCGGGGGAGAAGAGCCTTGGTGAGAGAGGTACAGAAGAACCCAAAGATGACTGTGGCTGAGCTCCAGAGATGCAGTCGGGAGATGGGAGAAAGTTGTAGAACGTCAACCATCACTGCAGCCCTCCACCAGTCGGGGCTTTATGGCAGAGTGGCCCGACGGAAGCCTCTCCTCAGTGCAAGACCCATGAAAGTCTGCATGGAGTTTGCTAAAAAACACCTGAAGGACTCCAAGATGGTGAGAAATACGATTCTCTGGTCTGATGAGACCAAGATAGAACTTTTTGGCCTTAATTCTAAGCGGTATGTGTGGAGAAAACCAGGCACTGCTCATCACCTGTCCAATACAGTCCCAACAGTGCAGCATGGTGGTGGCAGCATCATGCTATGGGGGTGTTTTTCAGGTGCAGGGACAGGACGACTGGTTGCAATCGAGGGAAGGGTGAATGCGGCCAAGTACAGGGATATCCTGGACAAAAACCTTGTCCAGAGTGCTCAGGACCTCAGACTGGGCTGAAGGTTCACCTTCCAACAAGACAATGACCCTAAGCACACAGCTAAAATAACGAAGGAGTGGCTTTACAACAACTCTGTGACTGTTCTTGAATGGCCCAGCCAGAGCCCTGACTTAAACCCAATTGAGCATCTCTGGAGAGACCTGAAAATGGCTGTCCACCAACGTTTACCATCCAACCTGACAGAACTGGAGGGGATCTGCAAGGAGGAATGGCAGAGGATCCCCAAATGCAGGTGTGAAAAACTTGTTGCATCATTCCCAAAAAGACTCATGGCTGTATTAGCTCAAAAGGGTGCTTCTACTAAATACTGAGCAAAGGGTCTGAATACTTATGACCATGTGATATTTCAGTTTTTCTTTTTTTAATAAATCTGCAAAAATGTCAAAAATTCTGTTTTTCTGTCAATATGGGGTGCAGTGTGTACATTAATGAGGAAAAAAATGAACTTAAATGATTTTACCATATGGCTGCAATATAACAAAGAGTGAAAAATTTAAGGGGGTCTGAATACTTTCCGTGCCCACTGTATGTAGATTAAACTGTTAAATTTCATTCAACCTTTTCAAAGGTTTCCATTTTGTTTGAATCTTTGTTAAAATGGTTGAAAATAAGAAATATTGTACATTGGTCTCTATGAGGAGAAACAATCAGTGGTGATATCAGGCCTAGAGTGGGGAGGCTGTTGAATTTGTCTGAAAAATGGTCACTAAATTGTCCTCACAACCAGTTTTGACTCCTTCTACAGAGGTTTTTCATTGTATGGCAAATGAATGTGCACTTTTCCTGAAAGTATAACCATGAAAGCAACTGGATTCACAGAAGACAGACTGAGCCTCAGAGTGACATGAGTGTCAACCAATTGCCACATTATACACAGTATTAGGCAGGTGGTCATAATGTTGTGGCTGATTAGTGTGTGTGAACACTGTTTCTTTTCAGCACTTTAAAAGGGACATGAGGTAATGTGTGAGCAGGGGTCTGGTCATATTTTACATCATAATGTGCTACTGGTTTATTGCCAAGGACTGTCATTGTACTGAAAGATCATCTCATTTGTTGACATCGTTGGACAGGCCATTTACTGTTTACAGAGCCATATTAGAAAGTGTCATCATTGCAGTAAATGACATAGCAGTGTAGATTGGTATCTCCAGTACTATCACTGTGGGTACTTGTCGCACAGAGAGCATGCTGCTGAAAACAGGGCATTGCTAAAGTAATTACTAGAACTACTGTCATCACAGAGCAGCTAAAAGATGACTGCAGTATCTCCACAACAGTAATGCCCAGGGGAATGTGATGTAGAGCTGACCATTCAGGCAGAGTCTGCATGGTGCTTACAATGAATGGATGGCTGGAAACATTGTGAACATGAACTACTTTCACCATTTTTCTCTCTGTAGGTCTCTTCAGGACTTATCCAAGCAGACAGAGCTGCCTTATGGTACGGTGCTGGACTCTGCAGTATATGACCAGGTGCGCTCCAAGGCTATGAATCCCTTTGAGAGAGACCCTATGTACTCCCAGATGTGGCGGATGATTAACCGCACTGGAGGAGGAGATAATGTGGAGGAGTCAAAAGAAGGCATTCGCAAGGTTGGTCTTTGTTTATTTATTTAAATTTAAATAAAGGATCATTGACACATGCAATATCACTACGTAAAGGAGTTAAATGACTCCTGTGACAAGCTTTGAATACAGGGGACCAGGTGCAGAATGGCAGCAATACCAAAGCAATTATTCATTATTCAGTAGAAAGCATTCACATGCAAGCCATCATTTGATCTTGTCATTTTGGGGAGCACACATAATTTGGTTATATTGTGAAATCAGCCTGGAAGACAAAATGACAGTCTCAGAGGTTGCATGACTTATATTATGGCTTACAGTTTCTAACCTTTATTCTTTATAACACTTCTACTGTAGTACATATATTTCTGGTAGTTGTTTGTTTTGTTTGTATTATTCATATTACTGTTAACCAGTGAGACCATACTCCACTAAAAATGTGCAGGCATCTTATTATAACTGTAATCACTGCAAGATGTGTCTTGTATTGAGAACATTGCTGCCTGTGAACCATTATGCAGCATTATGTGCAAATCATTGACAAAACAAGTCACCCTCTGTACAAGTTCTGTTGGCACTGAGTAACATCGGAAACTGATAAATAGGATCACATTGATTTGCACATGTGGAGAATTTAATTATTATATGTAATTAGGGATGAGGCTAGATAGCATTTTATTGCTCTGAATCTAATTCTGGATCCATTTATTAATTCTGAATCCTTTTGAATTCTTTATCAAATCCGATTAATAATAATTATTATAATGCATTTATTGATGTATGGATTTTCAAGGAACTAATAGAAGTTTATTTATGAATCTAGCTTTTCTACAACTGGTCATTCTAATTGCTGTTATAGACCATTTACCAGAGAGTCTGAAATCGACATATCACTTTTTGCAGTTTCTTTGACTTCAGAGTGGTTAAGCGAGTCTGCCATGCTTCCTTAGGACAGCGTTTTTCCCCCTAAAGTTTATAGTTTAACATGCAATAGGCTACATAGCCTAGCATAATGTATACAAACAGGTGTGCAAAAAATTTCCGGGTTTGAAAACCCCTTTTTTTTTTTTTTTTTTTGGTGACATCTGTATTATCAGAGAAGCCAAAGACTAAACAGAGAACAGCAATGGCAGGTTTAATGAGGGATTTGTTCGGCCATGAAGCTTAATAAACCCAGATATTTCATCAATTTCGGACAGGATCCAAAACAGAACTGGCTATCACAACCCATCCCTATACATAATGCAATGATACAAAGTGTCTCCTCCAAAAGAAACACACAGCACATTTATGTGTTCAGCTCTTGCAGCATTTATGTATGTCTCCAAAACAGAAGGCTTTACCAACTATTTATTTATTTCATACTAGCCCCAGCCAGTACCAGTAAGACCTTTGCTATTGCTTGTAAACCCTCACCTCTAATTCAGCCTGTATTTAATTCATGCACATTAAATACTTAGGTGTATACAATACATCTGTAGTGTTTTCAGCGCAACCTCCTTATGTCCTGTTTTGCCATACAGCTCATGCCACAGGGTCATTTGTGTTGACAGGGGATAAATCTATCTAAATGATGGTAATGATATACAGATAACACACACGGTTAAATACTTAATTCCCTTGGTGAATACCCAGCATCATAAATACCTGACTGCTGCATCTCATTTGCACGCAGCCCACTTTCTGTTAGCATCGCCCCTCTCTCCTCCAGTGAGGGCCTCACTTTATCCCTCCACCCTCTAGAATATATTAGGTTTGAACAGTAGCCAGCATTGGAAGTAGTGGAAGTGCTGGGAGGAGAGATTAAAGTGTCAGTTGGTGTTTCCAAAATGATGAGATAAATGCAGCACATAACACTGTATAAGCATACAACTATTAACACTCAACTCTCATACAGCTCTACTGGCACAGGTAGTTATTGAGCATGTTCCTACTGTACATACCTAATCAGTAGTGTATCCAGAATTATGAATAAGTTAGTTGTTCATTGCTTAACAAAGCTATGTGTGTGTAACACCAATATATATATTATATATATATGTTTGACGCCTGAAATGTGTCAAAAGGTCGCAAAGTTCAAGGGGGCCGAATACTTTCGCAAGGCACTGTATATATATATATATATATATATATATTCTCTTGATTACCACACTAGTGATGTGACAAAACCCACATAATTTCTGATCTGACTGAACTGGCAAGTTACCTGTTTTATTAATAGTATGTGATTTATTATAAATATTGTGACAATGTCATATGAAATCCAGTACAAAAATATTACAACTTTATGGCAAAGCTCACTTTGACTAGTTTTGAATAAAATCATCAAGTTTGCAACACAGACAGATGTCCAAATTTTGACTACATTGATACAGTATAAGCAGCTAAGGTGATTAAATGCAAGTCATTTCTAAATAAATTCCAGCTATCACATTTCTGGAAGTATCTGTAACACTAAAATATTTCCATTTTGAGACGTAAAATGGAAATATGTTGGCATATTGGAATAATATACTGTGTATAGATTTTTTTGTGACAGAGGCACCAAAAACAAATAATTACCTTGAGTGTTCTAAAGTAGTTTTAATTCTAAAGTCTTGACATCGCTGTTACAAGATGGCTCAGTACCGAGGACTAAAAAAGCATGGATCACAATCACTATCACAGGCAGTACAGTACAGAAGGATTTCCTCACAGGGTCATTTGTTGACACTGCTGGAGACTGGACAGTATCATCCACTGCTTGGTTATTTTTAACATAATGCACACAAGTGAGCCTTGTACAATAGTATCAAGTAAAGGTAATGAATAATTCATAATTCATTAATTTTTATGTCCCTATGTGTCAGCAAAAAGAGTAAGGGCAACAGAGATAACAGTGTGCTAGTTGTACCATGCATAAATGTGTTGTCTGTACGATGTTCATTTCCAGGAACTATGCTAAACTCTTGAAGGGTTTAAGTAGCAACTCAGACTGAAAGCCGTATGATGAATAAGTCCTATGAAAAAAGGTTGCTTTCAGTAGCAGCAGAATGTGAGCAGGCAGTACCGACAGGAGGGAGCTCTGGACGAAGGGCTGGTCTCAAGCAGCAGGGACAGAGGATCTGTTTTTCTTATGGATCACTTCTACATGACAGCAGTGACGCCTCCAGAATAGCAGAAAGTACTGCACAGCAGTGACGAGAGGAGGAGCCAGACCTTCTCCTCTCACTGTGTCTCTCTTGATTTCATACTCTTCTTCTTCTTCTTCTTCTTCTCTATTTTACATCATCTTTGTTTTTGTTTGGTTGTTGTTTTTCCCCTACATCACTTAATGTGAAACTGATTCTTTCTGATACTACCCTCTTTCCCCTAACTTTACCCCACTGATATTATTTTCTTTTTCTGCCTTTGTTAATTACCATTTCATCACCTCCCTCTGTCTCTCTGTCAGTCTTTTATTTCATTTACTGTACATTGTGTTAAAAGCTGCAGGGTGCACTCTAGTGGTTTACGAATGCCTGTCCTTCCCTGTTAGTTGCATTGACACAAGCTGATGTTTCTTTTTTTGCTGCAGAAAAGCTATAATTATGTGATTTAATGATTCCTAAACACAGTACTATAAATGTGAATTTATAGTACTACTACTATAGTACTACTGAAGTGACCACAGTTTACTTCAGTAGTCAGTGCTGTTTATATCAGTACTGATTGGTGCCTAAAATTAATTTTCCTTTTAAAGAAAATTCTTAAAATATAATTTTACCACAGAGCTTGTCACTGGAGGCGTCGAAGGCTAAATGATCTCTTGTTATCAGTTGCTTTTCACAAGGTCTACTAAAAGGAGATACAGGACCTAAACGAAGCCTGAGTTCACTGTAAATTGCCTGCAGCTAGGAAACTGAAACAATCACCTAAGAAACCTGTCAAAGTGCAACCTTTCAACTTGTTATGATTTCTCCTCATACTGACAAATATATTTGGAGGCCAGTGAACAGTACCTGGAATAGTATTTTCAAGCTGGAGGGTATATAGGAGGCTGTGATGTTATGAACAGACCCCATGAGTCAGTCTGACTCAGACATCTTTTGTTCTTTTTCTGTGGCATTTGATTTATTTGGATGTGTTTGTCTTCTTCAATCCAGTCCCTCTGCTATATTTAATTCCTGTGAGGTTAAGAACTTGATATATTTTCCCCTCAGTGTCATGCTCCCTCTCCCCCTTTTCTCACTCTCCTTTTTCCTGATGCTGCTTTCTTTCTTCCTCTTTTTTACTCAGGCCTTTTCTTTTTCCACAATAAACCTCTTACTTCTCTCTGTCTCCTGTACACTATGGATTTTCTCCTCTTCAGTTTTGATCCCCTGCAGCAGAATATTATGTGTCAGAACGGGTCAGAGGCTGAGCTCTCTCTAATATCGCTCACACAAGAATACACACACACACACACACACACACACACATCTATGTGCTTGTGGAAACACTCACATGCATAGACAGACACATACTTTTTATGCCCAAAAGAAGAATGCCTGTTACGTGCACACTAAGTCAAGTAAGCTGTGCAGGGTGAGGCCTGTCACAAAGTAGTATGGAGTATGTGTCTCTACCATTTCAGTCATCAAGGTGTTCAATAAACTAAGAGGTGGTGCACCTCACACTTGATATCTCATTAACTTGGTGTCACATGTGATATCAAAGACAAGTGTGCTGTATGCCACTGTTTGCCATAAAGGCATCTCACCTTAAGGCAGTGTTAGTCAGCTGTGTTCTTCGCCATTTATTTTCGCATGGTCTCAGGAGGAAAAAGAGTGTCCTTTATTCTCTGTGTTTTCATGTGATGTCAGGCAGGTCTTTTAAATGAGGAGCTCCTGACAGCTCAGCATTTGACTGTTGTGCTGACTTGTAGAAGTGAACTAAAATTAATTAGCAATTACTTACCTTCTTAATTACTTAACTTCTGCTCCCTCTACACTGCAACACAAGATGTGTTAAGAATAACAGGCGGTATATATTTATAATAACAAGGGAAAATTATAGCCACAGTCGCA